AAGGCCAAAAAGTATTTTGAATTTTTTCAATATTTATATCCTCTAATGGATGTTGTTCTTTAGTAATAGTTCTTTAGAAGAAGCTCAAACCATCCTTTTGAAATGTTTGCAAATACATTTCTAAATTTGTGCTTTAAAATTTTCACTAAAATATGGTGTACTTCTAGTTTTTATTAATAACTGAATTTTCTATAATGCCAAAATTTTTTCTTTGAATTTTTCTAACACCTTCGTTATTGAAGCCATTTGTCCATAAGCAAAAGCAGTCCAAACCAGCTGAAAATATTTTCAGTGAATGTGAAAAAAAATATTCATAAGGACAAAGGTGCGAGTATAAGCACTGCGATAAGGAGTACTGGGAAGAATTTTCGTTTTAAAATGAAAAAAGTAGTGTGATTTGTTTGGAAATTAAGAATTAACAAAACATCTCTTAAAATTTGAACGGAATATTTTAAACATTTATATTGTGATGATTAGGGCCCATATGTTTATGACATGTCATATTTTTTTCTTTGTGTTATTTCCATGGAAAATATAAGTTAAGCATGATTTTATCTACAATAATTAAAATGCAATCTTTACGTGTCGTATAAGTTAGTCATATTTTGGTCTTTGAAAACCTTTTTCATTTTCTGTTTATATTTCAAATTATGGCCATGTTTTTACACGAATTTTTGTATTTTTATTATTTTGATCCCATTTTCGCGTACTTGCTTCCAGTCGTGTCAAAGCGATTTTGTCACAATTTATTCGTTCAATTAAACGTTGGTATTTTAAGGGGGGACGAGCAGGAGATAATTTCTCATTTCCTGTGGAACAGTGGACAGAACTAACCACTCGACAATTGCTGTTACCTAGTAGTAGCAATGTAGCCTAAAGAAGGGGAAGAGTTTCTAGTCATTGACGATGAAAGTAGGGTACTATTGGCACTGCGTCCGAACAGTGGCGATCTGCCATCTCGGCGAGTGCCTTGATATGTCTCGAAGATACAACACTCAGCTAGCCGAAGTTTGTAGAAGTACGTGTGACATCGAAGTGTGAGATATCTGTCCACTGAAAAGAGCTCTCATCGCTTAAAAAAACAAAAACAACAAAAACCTTCGCTAGCGCGCGAATCACGAACGCATTGCTGTGCAGAGGCATCCATAGGAATTGTGTTAATTTAATAATATAACCACATTCTTTTATATTTTGAAGTGAGTTGCAATTACAAATACTTTTCCAATTAACGAAAATCCAAATGCATTTTGCAAACATACATAGTTGGTTACTTTTGGCGTTTTGAAAAATCGATGTTAGTGATCTGTTTTTCTTGCGTGCTTCGTTCGCGTGACGAAAAATTTGCTGAAAAGAAACAAGAGTTCAATTGACTTTGTATTTCTTCACACAGTGTTCACACAGCAAATTATTTAGATCGTTTTGAGTATTCGGTAACTTGTAATTGTAGCCTAAAATTTGTACAGCGAGCTGATGGAAAATACTCTAGCGTAGCAAAATTTGCGTGGTCAGATGGAAGATCAGGCCTCATGGCCCGAGTGTCGACACGTAAAATAAAGCAGCAATTCAATTCAGTTTGAATCAACGTGTACAATTGAACTCTTTAACGCCCGTGGGAAAATGGTTCTGGAACGTGTGTAGTAGATTCGCGGTAATCCGACTCTAATATTTCGGAAGGGCCCAGCGACGTCGAAGCAGATGTTTGTAAAAAGAAATTAGGGCAATCCTCACAGCTGACGAAATATCCCGTTCAGCATGCTATCAAACTTCATAAAATGCTCTGTGATTAATTGTCTTTATTAATGTACATGAGTATATATGTATGCCTTTGTGTGGGTGTGAGCGAGGGGGGAGAGAAGAGAGCAGCCTAATACACGACCACGCGCCACCACTAGGAATACGGAACCATTTTATTTTTAATAAATTCTCACAATTTTCTCTTGAAATTGGCGTTTGAATTATGTTGATATCACTTACAATTTTTTTATTTACTCGTGAAATGCTGCTTTCATTGGGCATGGGTGCTAGCTACAATACTTTTAGATACTTTTGTACAATGCAACGCATATACAAGTATACTAAAATATTTGGTCATGCAAAAAGTAATTGAAAATTTATGTTGTCAAGCTAATCAACATAAGTCTCGAAAGGAAGTAGTTGTTAGAAAGTATTTATTCTGATGAAGAAAGTGCTGGAGTGTTCAGAGGGATGCTTCTTTCAAGCCCATTTCTGGAAGATGATATTTTTAATACTAAATTATCTTTTTTTCAACGTACGTTTATATTAGAAATTTTCACTTGTTAATAATGGCCTCCTATATTTTCTGAAACATTTTTGTTCTGGTTATCTTAGTATTATATTCTGCAAAACTTTATTTTTTATAAAACGATGTAAAAATTGCATTATGGGAGACTATTTTTATCTACAAAAATAGTAAACACTTTAAAACCATTGTTTCTGTGTTATTATGAAGATATGTCTGTAACCTTGGTATACCTATGAGAATAAACAAAACAGGCCAATAAGAGTCATGGTAAAAGGCCTACATCCTACATGCTGAGACAGAAATCAAAGAGGAACTAAAACTTAACATCTTTAAGATCGTTAGTGTTGTAAATATTAAAACAACTAGGTGAACTGTGAGATTGAAACAATTCCTTTTTCCTTGTTCATGTTAACATATGAAAAATTTAGAAGATATCGAAAGAATTTTTAGATGCCCTGTGTCACGTAAATGTTATAATTGAGTGGCTGAGAAGAAGTAACCTCATATCACGACGCAAGAAGTGTCAGAGGTTTGAACACTCCCAGAAATTCTGCCTGCGTTAAGTACCCGGGGAAGTATAAAACCATCGATTCCAAAAAGAAAAATAGCGATCCTCCTCTGTGTGTAAATTAAAATAAAGATCACTCCGCGAACTATAGGGGATGCATAGTTGCTAAAGAACTACAGAAAAGAAGAAATAATCTTACTAACAATAAATCGTCCCAAGCAACGAATAACATGCATTAAAAAGTCTTCACTTCTAAAAGAGTCGTTGAGGGTAGAATTTATGCACAAACTGCCAAAAAAGGTGATGTACAACATTCAGAAATTAAGACACTCATGTAACGCAACCTGAACAACTTGCCTTGATGGACATGTTTCAACGATCCAACAATATAACAATACAATATGCATATTGGATAAAATATCACAAAGGGTTGATAAGCTGGAAGGAAATAACCTTGGAATGGTATCACATGGCGTTAAGAGATGAAGCAGAAGGACATGGGAATTGCTACACGGAAGGCAAACGGCTTACACAACAGAAAACAAGAAATAGAAGTTTTCTTATATTGATATTTGTATGATCTCTGTAACCCATTCTACAGAACAGACCTATTTTAAACTAAACAGATATAGTGTATATCAGACAGCCCATCCAGATAACAAAGCAAGAGTTGTAAGTGCTATTCTGATAAAAAACACAACTGATCGTTATGAGGGTCACCTAAAATTTGCTGAATTTCAATTAACTGTAGTAACAATAAAGTGTGTCGTCATCAGAATACTGGTGCAATATACTGCTCTCCAATGCATAATATTAAGATAATGGATTACCAGCAATTTCTTGGACACATGGGGGAGAGATTTATAAATGGGAGAGACTATAACGCCAAACATGTGGATTGGCGATCTACGCTGACCCCCAAGAAAAGCAGTGAACTGAGGGAAGCAATGACAGAGTGGATACACTTTTCATTCTACAAGCAAACCTACGTATTGGTCTTCCGACCAGAATAAATCACCCGTTCTTTTAGACTTCTTTATATCAGGGAAAGTGTTCCCAAACTTTATTAATATGGAAGAAAATTTTGATCTGAGCTCTGATGACTCCTCTGTGATAGATTAAGAGAGAGAGAGAGTAATTATGGAAAGTGGAAGACCAGAATTAATGAACAAGGCAACTGACTGGGAGAGCTTCATAATTGAACGGGAAAATAATATTAATCTTGGAACTGAGTTAAAGTCTCTACAACAGTTAGAAAAGGTTGCGGAGAGATTTTCCTGTACAATCCAAGAAGCGGCATGGAATAACACCAAACAAATTGCCTTGAGCACTGTACCATTTGGAAATCAGGAAGTTAGTTGAAGAAAAAAGACGTACAAGAATATGGCAACACACTCGCGATCCACATGATAAAACTATACTTAATTTCTCTTAAGAGAGAAATTCAAAAATTGAAGGATGTACCACTAACTTCCTATATGCAAAATTTGACTGCAGATAAAACATCTGACTATTCGAAAAATAACTGATTCCTGGGCACGAGACAGCAAACAGAAGGCAGACACCTCAAAATACCTTTCAGAGATCATTCAACCGAATGATATGCATTATGTTGTGGTCACTGAAGAAAATACAAATAGCGAATTTGAAAAAATCGAATTTGTTACTAAAAATAATTTGTTAATGAGATAAGGCATGTTAATGCCAAAAAGGTTGCTGGTTTTTATATCATGGGCGAAATCCTAAAATAGTTACCAAATAAGGGGATAGTAATGCTAATGTATTTAATCAATGCAGTCTTTAGGCTAAAGCATGTTTTTAGTATATGGAAGGTTGCTAAAATCATCATGATACCCAAAGCAAGAAAATTGACAGGAAAAAAATAAAGTTGTGTCTTAGAGGCCAATATGCCTGCTGCGCATTCTTTCCAATGTCTTTGATAATTTGCTGTTAAAAAGGTTAAAACCTTTTTAGAATATAATAGAAAGAAAGAAAATCAGGGGTGATTTTTAAACTAAAAAAAGCAATTACCCGTGCAGTACGCAACACGCTCTACATATCTGAGAGAGACTTCGGGGTTAAAATGGAAGAAGAAGACGCCGAGCAAAAATAAGAGCAGGCTCCGGGAAGCGACGTGGGGCCCGTCCTCATTCCACGTCGTGCTTGTAAAACGCCTCGGCGCCTAGTCGGGCCCTCGGCGCGCGTGTGCGGCGTTGTTCGCTGGGGGCGATGGCTCTTGGCGAGCGGCGGTACTTTGCCTGCCCTACGGCGAGAGAGCATTTACGACTTACTCAGGATATATTCTCTTCAAAGAACGCGCCTCGAAACGAGATCGCGGGCGAAATCAGGCCTGACACGTCGCCATACATTTGAGGACGAGGCGTTTAAAACTACCCGGCAATCTTGAAAATGGTTCAACAAAAAAACAATTGTATTTACAGGAAGCCGCTTTATGGGAAATCAAGAAATGTGGAATTTCATTGGTTTAGGAAAGACGGGAGAAATGAGAGAATGTTGTTAACTGTAAGGGAATTTTTGTAATTGTAACTTATTCATTTCTCATTGTTATCCGCCAGGGCGACTGCTGACTGTCCGTGCCTGCCTCTGCTGCGAAGGACCTGGGGACGGCCATCTCATCTCTCCCAGTCCCGAGCTGGAAGGCCCGGCGCCGAAAGGCCCAGCAGCCCAGAGCGGGTGTTAGAGAAAGCAAAGTAAAGCAAGTAAATTCTCAAAGAGGTCTTACGCTTTTCCTGGCACGACCTTCTTGGAGCCTAACGAAGTCGCCGGAGTTCGCAGGGCGTAGGAAGCAGCAGCCATGTTGACAGCTCCTTTGCAGCAACGAGGCGGACCACGAGGGGTGTCAAGCTGGAACAGCCATGTTAATTATTTGCCACAATTGCCAATTTATTGCCACGTCTTTGCGTTGAGAAAGGGCGTGTGAGCTGAGCTGACCCGACACCAGTACGCAACTTGCATTAGAATCGTAGTGTGGCGGAAATTGTATAATAATTTATTGCAAATTAATTACATTTTAGATTTGTCAATTTATTGAGACAATTTAGAATTGCAACGTATTTTCTTCGAGAAAACGAAACAGATGTTCTCAAAAATGACTGCAAATATTTTTTGAAATGTTTACTGAATTTAAGGGTGATAATATTATGGCACAGGTTCAGTTTTCCTTAAAACCTCTGGACATTTTGAAAAGTTCAAATTTTTTCGACACTGTATAACACCTATATTAATAAAGTTACCGGTTTTGCCTTTATACAATTTAACTCTCTATCTATATCTTTAAATAATTCCATGTACGCTTCTTCCAAATAATAGGAGTTTTCGCTTAATTTATTAATTCACAAAATTAAAGATACTTCTTAATGGTTAATAAAATGCAGTTACAGTATGTCTTTATCACCCTAGGATGTTAAAAAAATGTTTTATCCACTCTCGTACGCGCATGCTGTACGCCACGAGTTTGTACTGAGGAAGGACCCACGGCGTCACGCGCACGCCCCCCTCTTGCGACAGCCGCGACCCCCCTGACCCACTTAAACAATTCATGGCACCCCGACGGCCAGAGGGAAGGGTGAGTTGCTAGGCGCTCCGCTGCGACCCCGTCCGGAACGCTTTCGCGACGCTTGTCCCCGATACCGGGGAAGTACAAAGTAATAATTCATTATTAGCCGGGAAGCCCCTCCATAGACGTGGCCTACTTCCTAGTCGACAACGGACACGTTCCAAACGACAGAGAAAGACAGCACCTTTAGGGAGAGAGGGAGAATGGAAAATTTCCATGAACTGCCGAATCTTATTGGCCGAAATCTGAGTAAGACGCCATAACCTTTGGCCAATAGTGACTAGAGCGTCAAAGGTAAGAGGGAATTCGAAACATACGAGGAATAGAGGGTGGGGGAATGGAAATGAACCTTGCATTGTCAGAGGTACAAATTCTCGGAGAGAGGAGGGGAGAGAGACGTATTCGCTGAAGGTTCATCGAGAGGAATCGCAGACATAACGGGAAAGAATTTGGTGTCGTCGGACGGCTGACGAACCTGCGGTCACCTGCACCGGAGGGGGACGCCTTCGCTGACGCCCCTCGGGTGGCGCCCCGCACGGGCCACAAAACCCTTAAAGACAATTTTCAACGCGGTGCCGCGCTCAGGCACAGAAAAGCACTCACTAGGTCAAACTTGTAATCGTAGTTATACCTTCTTCTTTAGTTGTAATTTCTTTCTCATTTTTCATTAATTCACAATCTTCCTTGTATCTCAGTGTAACTTCCCTGCTACAGTGGACCAGGAATAAAAGTTGTTTTTTCTTTGACCAATGACCAGATTGTTTTTTTATGTCAATGAATCTATCTTGTAATTCCTTCCATCACCTAGTGTTAAGATAGGAGAGAGTAGGAGACACCGACTGAGCTAGGACCGAGCCGCTACCACGCATTTCCGACGATCCCACGTCGCCGGTAGATGCGTGGGGGCGTAACAGTATATGAAGAGACGAGGTAATGGTAAAATACCTAGATGAATAAAGAGAGGCTTACAAGACTCACGTGGGTGGGATTTGCTTGTTATTCGTACAATTCGTTTTTGTAATATAAAAGTCTGAGAGCTATAAGATGTATTTCCCTAGAATATTATGCCATATCTCTGTCGGGAATGAACATTCGCGAAATATACACAACGAGCAGTGTGAGGCTGGCTGAATTTGAAAGAATTCTGAAAACGTAGCATAAAGGACTTAATTTAGTGTTCAACTTATTTAAATGAACGTTCCATTTAATGTTTGGCTTAATTGGAAGACCTAAACATGTCTGTCTATGAACAACGCTTGCGGTTAAACCGTTCAGCCGATTTTCTCCAAATTGATATTACTCAATCAATTGGGCTGATCTCGCGGTCTCTTGAAATTGGAACCGATATTTTAATTCTGGGGAGTATTTGAGGCATTTTCCAAATTTTCAAAATATTGACTCGTTTTTGATTATATTTTGTAGTTGGATACTGTGAAGGAAGATTAAGACAGTGGTGCAGGTTTCATGTTCGTTCAAACTGATTTTCGAAAATTGCAAAAGATCAACATTTTTCGGAATTTTCCTACAACTGAAACATTAAAGACAGAGATTTGTTTTCCTCCATAAAATATGTTCCCTACAGATAGATTTTGAAATGAAGTGATGTACAATTTGTGGACAATGTGAGTGCTTTTCATGTACTTTGCGTGAAGTGCGAAGGCGCCGCTGCTTTGCTGGGCTGTGGGCGGAGGCCCTGAAGCTGCTGACGCGAGTCGGAAGAGCGCGCTATGGAGCCTAATGAGTATACCTAATTGCTCAAAATGCACATGTGCGATGCGACGGATATACTAAGCACGATTGTCGCTTCGCTTGGGGACGAAGCTACGTCCATACGATGCGTCTTTTCGGCCTGATACTGCATGTGTGAAGGTAAAAGATCGGGGCTTAAGGCTTCACTGCCTGCACTCGCAAGAGAAGGAAAGACCAATTGTAGCAAAATCTTTCCAACAAGGAAACGTTTACGAAATTTAGGCGTGAAAGAAGAACATTTTATTTTCTACTCCATAGTCTTCTGGGGGACGGGTAGCTGGCGCGTGTCGCAAGGGTCGCGGGTTCGGTTCCGCCGTGGCCGTGGTGGTCTGTCCCTTGCCTTCCATGTATGTGTTGTCGCGAAACGCCTTGTGAGTCTGCTGGCCTCAGGCCGAGGAGCCCGTATGCGCGCTACTGTCTAGTGTAAAAGAGAAAATTTGTGAAAAAGTGAAAATTTTGAAAATTACATTTCCTCCATGGGACGAAGCTGCAACCCCAGTTTGGTGGGGGCACTAGCCGCCATTGGAATCTACAACGTCGGAAGGCGTTCACGTGTCTCCAGAATACATTTTTTTCTTAATGAAGATACATTTTTTCTTAATGAATGATGCTCATCAAAAACAGATCTTCAAATAAGATTTCCCAAATTTTCAAAAAAATGGCTGTATCGTTTTTGTGTAAATTCGCTTGTTGAATAGTATGAAAGACTAAGAGAATCGTGCAGTTCTCATTTTCGTTAAAAACTTTGATTTTTCGAAAATTGCAAAAGTTCAAAATCTTTTCGACGACTTCGTACAAATATGCATATGACATTTTTTCCCTTAATGAAATCTGTTCTTTCAAGATAGATTTTGAAATAATGTCATGTACTTTCTTTTGAAAATTTGAGTATTTTTCGCTTTCTTTTGCGTGAATGTACGGGCGGAGTTGTTTTAGCACCAGTAGTATGTCAATTACATTTTGATCCTAGAAGGCCTCAACATTGGAAAATTCGCAATCCAATCGAGTGACGTTGGCGCCACGTGGTGGGAAACGCCGTCGTAGAGCAAGTGCTCCGGTGACGCCAACTCCCGGATTGCCACGCGCTTCCTGGCCTCAGTTTTCCTCTGCCGCGGACCGGACTTCCCGTCTGCGCGCCGCGCTCAGCGGATCCTTGGGGCGGGGCGCCCGCAGGGGCAGCTGAGGGAACTTGCTGGAGGCCCCAGATTAATTGCAGCCCTGAGAGCTTTTATCATTGATAGTAAATAGAAATGTATTTATTTCTAATTCAAATGGGGGGTGTGGATCTTGTTTTCTCTTTGTGTGCGCCTTAAGGCCTGTGATAAATGATTCCACTAACGGCTACTTTAGAATGGGTTTTTATTAACATGCTACTCTACACTTTGTAAGCATATGTAGCATAATTATAAGTAAGCTTGGTAAGCACAGTATACTACATATGCTTACAGTAGACGAAAGGCGGTTACATCACTCTCTACTTCTTCCTTATAAAATTTTACAGGCATCTCACGTAGCACGCCTTATAAGTAACTTCAATTATCCTAAATTAAATGGAGTTTCTGATTCAACTTTGCTTTAGTATGTATGGCATTACAACACAACCTCTTTCAGAAGATCGTTCACCGTTCCAGCGATCCGAGGCTGGAATAAGTTCCAACCGAGTCAAACACTCAAATACTTTCCGTGAATTGAAATACGAATCGGCTCCTTGGTGCCAACTCCTGCCGCTTAGAGCGAGGTGAACGCCCCTCCGCCCGGCGTCTCCTCCCTTCCACGCACGCGCAATTCTTCACAAGAATATGTTTCTCCATTTCAGATGTGTAATTGTTTTTGTGTGTCAATATTGTATTTTAAATTACTGGTACCATTAACTTATAGTACATTTTACGTCCTTGGTCTTGAATTGGTATTATATTTATTAGAAGCGCTAATGTAATCCAAACCACGCATTCTGATTATGTACTGTCTCTGAAAACAAAATTCTTTTTCCGCAAATTTCTTCTACCTTCTTGTCTTCGCCTCCTCTCTCCTTTTTCCTTCAGATTTCATTTTTATTCTTTAGGACCGCAACTCCTGATCGTCTTTTCTCTTCTCTGTCAAAATTGTATCGCAACCGTTACCCTCGTTTATCATACGTACGCACCATACATACATACATCATACATACATACACATCATGTTCTGTACTAATAATGTTTGGCTCTAAGCCGCCATCTGGTTGAGGTTTTTCTGGGTTTACTAAATCGCTGAAGACGTATGCCAGGATAGTCCCTAGTTTTGCACTCCCTGTCGTAATTGTTCAGCTTGATTCCCTCTTAAATATTACAACTCTTTATAAACATATTTTCAAGTGATTAGGCGGAAGCGCTAATCGCCCCATTTGCGGACGACACGGCGCTATTTGCCTGAGGACCCGATCTTCACAAAATATGTACTGCAATGCAAGTATATGTTAATCTGGGCGGGCCGCTAAATTAAAAATTGAAGTTAATCCATCAAAAACCGCTTCCAAAATATTTACCCTCATACCTTCATAATCTGGCATCCACAAAACAGAACAATCAAATATCTTGGACTCAACATTGACACAACACTTGTCTAAAAAAAATCTTGAAACGAAAGTAAATTAAACAAAAATAAAATTACTAGAACTAATACGTATTATCAATAGAAATTCCTCATACGGGATAGCTCAGCCATATACATAACCATCTTGAGACCCCTTTTGAAGACCCCGAAGATTAATGCTATACAAAGAAAATAGGTTAAAAGCGTTTTTTGTTCATTGTTTCATTGTAAGAGTTTCTGAAAGCATTCGACTTACCGTTTTTGAGAAATTCTTTGTGTGAAATGTTAATGCTAGGGAAAACAATATAAGCAATTTCCTTATGATTAAAAGGTTCTTTTTATAATGAAAGATTTTTAAGTAAACGCAGTGATCAGAAATTATTTGATGCATGATTGACTTGACAAAAATCAGTTAGTATAATTACGATGTTGTGTATTACGTTTTTATTTTGAAGGGTACAACAAGATTTCATTGCCATAGCTCCATACTACATAATTTTTCAGATAGGTTCTTCTAAATATAAAACATTTCAAGTACATTTTCAGAAAGATATGTTTGCAGGGGAAAGATATTGTTTTGTTCAAATATTTGTAATCTTCTCTCATTCATTAATCTTCGTGTATTATTAAACTATATGAAGTATTTTTTTTTAAATTTTGCCTGTAATGAACGTCTCTACTGTAACATCCCACACATGTAATTTTCAAGCTTTCCAAGCTATTTTCAATTATGTTTTATTCTTGTGGTTTGGATGTTTTCTGCATAACT